GTCTCCTAAATTTGCTGCGGAATAGTGCAACGAAAAAATTAAAGGTAGAAGCAACCGTTGCCAGGACTCACTCTCACTCACTCAATCCCGCTCTTCGTGTCCTTGGGCACATAAGACCACAGAGACTGTTTAAAGACTCATGTTGAAATTAAATTGTAGAAATCTTTTTCGTATTCTTACCATAAGGACACTTTCCTTTTTTGTAAATACAATATTTCCCCGCTGGCCATTGCGTCTTCCCTGTCTTGTTTGTCTTTACACAGAAATGTTGTGAAATCTTACTGCCTCTCTTCTCTCCGTTCAAGTGAAAGGAGCTGGACCAGTTGTTCAATGGCGTCGAGTCTTCTGTGTCTTGTCGAAGAAGACCCTCTGACCAAGAGAATTCCGTTGACATTGGACATCCACTGTGGGGCATGGGTATAGCGTATGTTCCTCTCGGCCACTCGACTAAATTTGTTAAACGAAAAAGAGAATCAGTCAGATGCTTTGTATGATCACCGAAAACTGCAAAACCAAAGACCTTCTCCGGGTCACAAGATATGGGTTACTGACGCGTCGTGATTGACACTAGACATGGAGGTAACCCAGAGCGGACACGTCCCAATAAACTGGTACTCGATCCCGGACGAGTAAAAACACTGCTTACTGACTTATGCCCGGGAGAAATCGGAATTAAGTGTCTTGTTGTTAAGCTGCTAGGCGTCAAAAGAGCTATTGTTACCGGTCCCGCTTGTGAGGAAGAGTGCGTGTATTGCGTGCCATGCGATGGCACGAATCACTATCTAATGAGCTACTGTTGCAGGTCTTTTACCACCATTTGGCTCATTGAAAATTTGCATCATATCAGTAACTCAAAAGAATAAACTAAAACGCAAAGTAAGGGCAAGCATATTGGTCTCCCCACTGGAATACGACTCATGCATTATCGAGGGCGCTGAAATAGTTTCCTTACCGCTCTCGTATAACTTCAAGTCAATGATAGCTTCTGCGACGTCCGGCTTACCAAAGTTAGCGACATACGCAATACAAGTGTATTTACCAACATCTTTTTCTGAAACGTTCGTAATGTGTAGAGAAAAAGTCCCTCGTCTTCTTGGAAGAAATTCTTCAGTAACTTTCTTGTTGGTATTTTCCTGTACTTCCTTGCCATTAAATTTCCATGACACCATGGTATCGATGCCGTTTATCTTGCGACCTCGACACGTCAAAGTCGCATTGGAACCTCGGCTAGTTATCACGTTGGGATGGACTGAGCGGAGCACAGGAATAATACCATCGACACCTGCCCAAATGAGAGACCAGAGGAATACAGTATAAACAAATGAGTAAAAACCGAGTGGCTTAAGAAACTGCTGGCAGAAATTTACTATTTTGATACCAAAAGAATATAAGCAACTGTTCAGCCAAGCAAGATCAAGCAAGTTCTTATATGTGGGTTACAGTTAAATTATGATAAACATTTTAACCAAGGAGTGTGACTTTGAGACTGCAAATTTATAATACAGTTGTAAATAAATATTGGCAGACTATGTATTTAAGGCCAAACCCAAGTTTTTATGTTTTTGTGGTAATCATCAACTATATCTCCTTCATAGAAATTAAGAGCCTAGGAAAGAATCTACTTAGCCTAAATTGCCAATAACTATTCCAAAATACAAGAACCTATTTTGCCAGACTTCAAAAACATCTAGGTTCTTACACGCGGACTGTTACTGTATATAGTTATGAAAGTTCATCAAGTCGGCAATAATATATTTGCAGTTCAATTATCTTTTAACTCTATCGAAGCCGCAGGTTGGTGACCTGGGTTGTTGACTTTTGCTATTAGGTAAACTGACATGTCCTCTCTAGTCCCTCTCGGCTTTAGTGCCACGAAATTAACCCCACAGAGAGAACCAGCTAGGCTGTTGCCGCTGGACACAGTGGCTGAACAGCAATAAAACAATTAAACCCAATGTTTTCTCTGAAGAAATATGAGCTCATTATAAGATCTCCCCTGTTGCTTCACTGAAAGTGATCACCGCTTGGGTGTTTGTTACACCAGTAACAAAAAAATCCCAAAAATGCGAAAAAAAAATCCAAAAAATGCGACCTTTTTGACAAGTCAGTCCCGCGTGGAATCATTTAATCGCCCATTATTTAAGTTCTTCGATACCATCGGCGATTGGCTACGGATTTCTTTCTTTAAAGTGTAGACAATCATTTTCCTTGATTTGGTCTACCAATCGAAACGTGCACTTCATAGCGACTGTATTGGTGGCGGATCAGAATTGACGGCACACCTAATAATAGACGAAGTGTTTGCGCTCACCCAAAGACTTAGGGAAAGATCTCCTTTAAGTAAATGGTACTTAGAGATAAAGAGTTTTTAGGGTGGTAAAACAATGTCCAATCGTTTACGTGGAAGAGCAGATTTTGAGATCTATTTGGAATTGGTCAGGAAGGCGCATGTGTAGGCTGGCATACTTGTGCTTCTTCTTCCCTCCGCTGTCTGCCTCTCTCCCACAGGTTTTATATTTAAAGACAGTCGGTGTTGGTTTTATTTTTCAGTTGAAATGAATCTTTACTTTTGAGATTTGGTTTTTCTAAAGGGCTACGTAAGGAGTCATAAAATAGCTCTAAGACGGAGAAAGAAATTTTTTGCCAAATAGTGCTAGCAGTACACCAAAACAAAACCAATGCACCTTATATCTCGGCTTTATTTTAAGGAAGGCGTGGCATTCTTGGATTTTACCTTGAAAATACTCGACCACTTTAAAATTCTGTCCCGACGCGCCGGAAAAGGGAAAATTTGATGATCGATTTAGACTTTTAAGTTGTTAGAAAATGGGAGGGGCACGCCTTTGGTAACTTGACTCAGGACTCACCTGAAATAAGGTAGCTGTGGCCTAAAATGTAGATGGCAAATGAGACACCTTTGAAGCTCATTCTGGCAGCTCTTTGAGTCTGGATTTCCCCAAAACAAGTAAAGAAACCATTTATCGGTTAAGTACTTTTATCGCGGTTCTATTCCGAAAGGAAAAGCATGGTTCGAAACTTGAAATAAAT